TATAGCTGCTATTAACTATGCTTTAAGCAGCACTGCAATAAGTACTCTTAGTAAAAGTAGTAGTAGTAGTAATAATAGCAATAACTGTTAGCTTTTCTATCCTTGCAGCTACTACTTCGCTAATAGCAGTAATAAAAAAAATTTTTTTTAAACTTATAATATGCGCTTAGCTAAAAGCTATCTTTTTAAGTAGTATAAGTTTTTTTATACTAATATTTAGTTATAAGCTTATTTTTTATAGTAAAAAGCTAAAAATAGTAGCAAGTAACTTTTAACTTTATCTGCGTACTAGTTTACTTCCTTTAGCAGCTAATAGCTTAAAGCATTAATTTTAGCTTTTATTTTTAATTTTTTATAGTTTACTAAAATAATATTAAAGGCTACTTATCCCTAGCGTTTATTCGCTTTGCTAGCGCTATTCTAAGTATTTAGTAATTTTTTAAAATAAGTACTACTTATAAATACTATAATTTTAATATTAAAGTAGGTAAAATATGCTTTTTTTTTTATACTAATAGTTTTTTGCTAACCTTGCTAATTATTTAATAAGTAGCTACTAGCAACTAAGTTTACTTTACTAATAATTGCTATACTTATTACTTAAGCACTAGGGCTAGCTATACTTTTAATAGCTGCGCGCAATTTTACTATTAAAGCTGCCTTTTTAATTATAAAGCCTGTAATAAGTATACTTTTAACAGCAATACTGCTTGCTATAGCTTTTATAGTAAATTTTTAATTTTTACTTAAAAATTTTTTTTGCTAATTTTTAATACTAAATTGCTTTTTTATAAACGCTATTAGTGCTACTCCTATTTTTATAAAAATTACTACTACTTATAGCTAAAGTCGTCTTAAGCATTCTAGCTTTTCTAATTTGTAAAGTTTTTAAGCTTATAGTTATATTATAAGCTTAGTATTTATAAATTTAAACAACTTGCGTAGCCTGTGTAGCCCTTATAGCCTAATTTTTTTTTCTACTTAGTTTAGCAGTCTAAATACTTTTTAAGGCAGCAGCAGTAAAGGCAAAAGCTATAGTAATATTTTTAGTTTTTAAATTAGTAGTATTCTTTAGGCCTAGCAAATATAAGTAAATTAGATAATAATAAGTAGTTAGCATAAATTAAGCTGCCTATCTAAAAGTTTTTAAAAATTAGTTTTTAGATGTGCTGCTAGCACCTAAAGCTTCTATCTTTTTTAATAGCCTACTAATAAATCTTTTTTTTTTTTTTCTTTTTTTTTAATTTTTTTATAACTTTTCTAATTTTTTTTTTCTACTTGCGTAACTTTACTTTAACTTGCTTTTAATATTTATAATTGCCTTTTTTTTTTTTATTGTTTTAAGAATATTATTTTATAAAATCTTATTAACAGCTTTTTAGAGCGCATTGTTAGACTTTTAATTTAAAATATATAAATTTATTAGAATATAGCCCTTTAGCAAAAGCTTGTTATCTTTAAACAATAAAATTTTAGTATCTATAATAGAAAGTATTAGTAGTAGTAGTCTCTTAAGTGCCTATAAGGTGCTTAAAATTAGCATTACTATTTAAAATTTTTTAGTTTCTAAATATAACTTTAGTTTTTTTACTAAAATTTTAGCTTTAAGCATTTTTAGCATTTTTTTAAACTTTTTTAGTTTATTAGCTTAAGTAGTGCTTGCAAATACTACTCTATTTAAATCTTTAAGCTAATAATAGCCCTTATCTAAGTTTGCAGTACTTATTTAGTAGAATCCTAGCTACCTCTTAGTAAGCTTTTAATTTAAGCTTTTATTAATAGTTTTTATTATATTTTAGATTAATACTAACTTGCCCTCTTACAAAGTAATTAGCACTTTTTTTTTTTTATTTTAATTCTTAGTCGCTTTTCTGCAAAGCTTTTTTGTATAATTAACTACTTTTTCTAAATTTTTTTACTAGAATTATAGCTAGGTAGCTTAAACTGCAAGCAAATTAGTATAACTCTTTATTGCTAACTATAGTAAACTCTGCTAAGTAAGTACTATAAGTTTTATTAGAAGTATAAAATTTTAGCTAAAAACTAGTTGCGCAGGAAAATATCTAAAAAAACGTTATAGCAATACACACTTAGCTTAAATAACTACTGTTAAATTATCTACCTAAAGGCTAGTTAGCTTTGCTAAGGCATAAATATAGCCTTAATATTTTTTTTTAATAAATTTTTAAGCTCTTAAATTATACGCAAAAACTTATATGCAGTAAATTCTAAAAAAAGTAGTAAGCATTTTAACTACTAACTTATTCTTAGTGCTTCTATTAACAAAAAGCTTTAGTAGTACTCCTTATTTATAGCAGATTTTTTTAAAAATAAATTAGGCTATAGTTTCTAAGTTTATAGTGCAAACTGCACGAGCTTTAGGCTATCCTAAAAAATATTTGCAGGCAATTAATAAGTAAGTTTTCTTTTTAACTTTTAGTATAAACGTAATATTAATAGTCTACTACGCTTATAATGCTTAAAAGTATATTGTATTAAGCTTTACTTCTTTTTTAGCTTTTTTAATTAACTAACATTCTTTGTAAGGGCTGAATTATTTTGCTACTTACTAATATATTTTTTTTTACTAGTATTGCTAGTTAATTGCTTTAAATATAGTCTAAATACTTTTATATTTTAGTTGCTTATGCATTTCTTAAATTAGCGCTGCTTATATTTTAGGCCTATTAAGCACCTTTTAAGCTAGCATTGCTTTAGTAGCTTTTTTAAATAAATACTTCTTTTAGACAAAGAAGCAAATTGCTTTTTTAGTCTAAGCTTAAAGTATCTTGCCTTATAGGCAAGTTGGGCGTTCTAGTATTTAAAAAAAAACTACTATTTCTTTTAAGTTTTTATTATACTTTTTAACTAAATATTGTAGTTTAATTAAGCTCTTAGCTATATAGACTTTTTTATACCTTTTTAGAATTTAATTAATAAAGGGCTTTAGGTTGTCTTTATCTTCTAAAAAGGGCTTCTAGTTTTCTAGTTAAAAATACCTTAAAAGTGCATTAAAAATAACATTTTTCTTGCTTAGTATATAGATAATATTAAAGTTTTATTAAAAGATTGTTGCAAGCTATTAGTTTATTATAAAACTAGAAAAGTTTAATAAGAATTAGTTTAATTAAGCAATTAGGACTTTCGCATCTATTTTAATAATAAATTAGTAGCTATATAAATAAAATTAAAATGCTTTTAGCGCTTAAACTAGAGCTTTGCACTCTAGCTTTATTAAATATTATTAAAATTCTACTTCTAACTACAAAGTACTATTAAACTTAATTAAGTATTACTATTTATTAGCTTTAACTTACTTTAGGTGCGCTCCTCTACCTATATTTAAAGTATTTATTCTAAAGTATATTGCTTTTTTTTTATAGTCTATTGCTACTAGCGCAGGAAGCTAAGTAATTACGCCCTTAATTAACTATATTGCTTTTCTCTAGCTCTTTCTCTAGCTTTATTTAGCATTCTTTTAAAGTAACTTAAAAAGTAGCTTAGCTTTTAAAGAAAAACAGAAAATCTACTGCTAATAATATACTGCAATTTTAATAAACTGTTAAACTTCCTTTACTGTTTAGCATTTAAGCTAGTTTAGTATCTTTAAAACTTTATTATTGCTAGGATATTAACTTTACTAGTTTACTTTATATTTAACTACAATTATTTTTAATACTCCCTACTAAAACTTTATAGCTAATACTATTGCCTTAGCTTAAACTATGTTAATAAGCATTTAGTTTACTTGCTGTATATATTTAAAAATAAATTAATAAATTTTATTTAATACTTTTTTATTGTTGTACTTTAACTTTAGGCTAGCTACTTTTATATTATTAATAAAGGGCGCTGTATCTAAAAAGTAGTCTTTAAAGATTTTTATAATAGTGTAAATAAATATAGCAACTAAGTTTATAGCTCCTTGCGGCAAAATGCATTACTTTATAAGCTTAATTAAAGTTTAAAATGCTATAATATCTTAGTTAGCTAAATGTAATTTAATCTAGTTATATCTTAAAAATAAGTTAAAGTATAAATATATTGCCTTTTTAGTAAATTTTTCTAAAAACTTGTTAGCAGAAGACGGAATGTATATATTTCTTTTAGTAATAGTATTATATTGCTAGGCATTATTAATTAACTAAAAGTTTATTGTTTTAGTAGGATTCTTAACCTTAGGCACTAGAAAATATAAATTCCTATACTAGCTATTGCTGCGCTTAAGTGTCCCTTAATTTAGCTTTATTTTTATTATATTAATAACAATTAGTTTAAGCTTTTTAGGGCACTAAAAGCCCTTTACCTGCTACGCTTTATAAGGCATAGTTTAAATTTTATATAGTAGCTAGATATTCTAATATATTGTTAATATATTTTTAAAGTCCTAAGCTAGCGCATTTTTTTGCTAAAACATTAGACTTTAAAGTAGCTAAACTTTATTTAGTAGCAGGTTTTTTTTTATATTTATCTTTACTAGCTGTTTAGCTGTTAACTAATGCCCCTGCAAAAAGCTTGCTGTTTTTTTTTTAAAAATATAATTATATAAATTTAGGTCTAGGCTTTTTAATAATATTTTTTTAATATACTGCGCAATAGCTCTTTCTTTCTAATCTTTTTTTTTAAGCTTTATTAGCTAATCTAGTTAGGGTACATTAATAGGCTAAACCTTATTGCCTACCTTTTTATATAGAATATTTACTTTTTTTAAACTCTTTCTACTTTTTAATTAATACTATTTTTAACTTTTTAGCTTTTTAAAAGATTCTTAAAAGTTTTCTTCTATTTTTTTATACTTTTTACTAACATCTTTAGTTTTAAAGAAATTTTAATATTTTTAAATTTAAATTTTTAGGCAATTTTTTATTAAGCATACTTTTTTAGTAAGCATATTCTCTATTTTTTTCTTTCTTTATTAATTGCAATTAAATTAGCTATTAGAGCTAAATTGCACTTTATAAACAAGACTTTTTTTTATTTATTAAAGGACCTAATATAACACATAGTATAGCTAAAAGTATTAAAGTAAATTTAAAGCTAAGCAGCTAAATACTAAAAAGTACTAAGTAAAATTGCCCTTTTTAATTTTTGCACTACCTGAAAATGCGTTAAAATTAGTATTTTATTAACTATAATTAGCACTTTATATACAGTACTAATAAAAAAGTTTATACTCTTATTTGCAGTAATTATTCCTTGCTAAAGCTTAATTAGTAGTTTTTTTTAGTTAAGTTTAGTAATGTATATATTAAAAGCTTTTATAGTAAATAGTTTTATTATATTTAGCTACAAGCCTGTGTTAATTAAGGCTTAACTTATGCCTTTATATAAAGATATCTAATACGTAGGGAGCTAACTTTTAATTAATAGCTTGCAGTATTAGCTTTTAATCTTTAGTTAAAAGTTAGATAGTAGCTGTAATTACTTTTTAATATATTTATTTTTTTTATCTTCTACTTTATAATTTTAGAAGTTATGAATTTTATTTGCCTCCTTAGCACTTTTTAATAGCTCTTGCTATTTATAACTAAGTTTTAGGCATAGCTATTTAAGTACTTTTCTAATAATTACTTTTTTAAATTTTTTTTTACTTTTAATTGCAAAGGTCTCTCCTAAGCTTAATCCCTAGTTAAATATTTTTTAAAAACTCTTCCCTATTAATTTTTTTTTTTTAATATTTATAGTTTCCCTTAAACTACGCTTAAAAGTTTAGAATTTAATAATAAGTTTTTGCAAATCTTTAATAGCCTTACTAATAGTTATTACTATAGCTAAAGTAGCTAGTAAATTTACTTATTAAAGTTTTTTTACTTTTTAATTAAGTATTACTTAGGCTATTACATTTAGAAACGTATTCCGCGCTATAGTTGTTAAGTTTTTAGTAGTTAGTATTTAAATCTGCTGCAATTTCTTTTATATTTTTATTATAGGCAGCAGAAAAGTTTCTAAGCTTATAGTTGCACTCTAACTATTTTTTATAGTTAGTAAAGTTATATTTACTTTAAAGCGTTTTTATAATAAGTTTATTTAGGCATTTTTTATCTGCACTTTAAGTACTTTTATAATAGGCCTATATTAAAAGAGCTTATCTTCTAAATCCTCCTTAACTAATAAAAGAATTTAGTTATATAGCTTACTACTTTTTATTTTTAAAGCTATAGCTACTATAGGCTTTTTTTTAGTAACCTAATTGTTTTTTTAATGCTGCTTTACTGCAGTTTTTTAAATTTTTTTGTTTTTTGTTTCTACCGCGTATAAACTAGGCTTAGTATTATATATTTTTTTAGTTTGCAACACTATTTCTAGAAATATTGCAATTTTTTAAAGTGCTATTGTTTACTAAGCTAGCGCACTTTTATTATTATCTGCTTTAACGTTGTAGCTTTCTCTACTAGCTAAAAAGCAAGTAATTTTAATTACCTTTCTATTAGCTCTAAACTAGCTTAGAAGAATAAACCTAATAGGCTTTTTTAGCTATTTATTAGTAACCTAAAATTAGTTTTTTAATAACTGCAGTACTTACTGCAATATTTTACTATTAAAAGCTCTTAGAGCAAACCTTCTGCCTAAAAAAATACTTTATATATTAGTTAAATAAAGTCTAAAATAGTATTTAGCTTAGGCCTAGCTACCTAGTATTTTTTTAAATCTAGTATAAAACTACTAATTCTCTTTTAGCAATCCTAAATTAGGGCAATTTGCTATTATATATTCTTTTTTTCTATAGTAGCAATACTTTATTATAGTCTGCTTTCTGCTTCCTACTATTACAACTCTAGCTTAGAAATTAACTATAAATAAGTAAATAAACTAAAAATTTTTATTATTCTTCTTAAGAGGCCCTTGCAATTTTTGCTGCAGTTTAAGCACTAGCTGTTTATAAGCTTTTATATAGTTTTTACTTAATACTAATACTTTTTTTATATTTAAATTATTATTTGCAAAAAAGTTAAACTTATTTATAGTAAGCATTAGCCTTTTAAAGCCTTAAATAAAATTAGCTATAGTAAAATTAACTTTTGCTTTAATTAGCTTTGCAGGTATAGGCAAGTAAAAAACGCCTAGCACAGTAGCTTTTAAAGCTACTTTAATTAAAAGTATTAATTCTTTTAGAATTTTTGTATTCTTTTAGGCTAGCACCCTATTTACTACGCTGTAATTAGTAGTAAAAGCATTTAGTTTTTTTTCCTGCTTTTAGTACTCTTAAACAAACTTGTAAATTTTCTTAATTTTAAAAATTAATACATTTTTAAACTAAAGATAATCTTTTTTTAATATATAATATATTACCCTATCTATATCTTTTTAGGCTAGTTTTTAGAAGAAGAAATAGCCCTTTTTAATTTCTGCAACCTATTCTTAGAGCTAAGCCGCTAAGAAGTATATAACAAAATTTTAATAGTATTTAATAATTTTAACTATAAGCTGGCGCTTCTAAACCTTGCTTATATAACTTTTAATAAAAGCTTAAGTACTTTTTTTTTAGCTTTTATTTTAGCTTGCATAAAAACTCTGCAACTTCTGCTAGTATTTAGCTTAGCTCTTTTTTTTATTTCTATAATTTAAAAGTTTTTAGATAAATACTTTATATTAAATCTTATAAAAGTATAGAAGCTATATTTTCTAAGTACTTTTACTCTATAATACTTAATTAGCTTTAAAGTTGTATTCTTTTAGAAACTTTATAATATTATGCCTTTTAAACTTTAGCGCATTTATATTAGTAGGCTTAAACTAGTTTTTATATTTAAAACCTATTTCCTGCGAAGAATGCAATAAAGTATTAGTACTAACTATATTATTTGCTTTAAACAATTAACTCGCCTTAAGTTGTTAAGAGTTTTAATAACATGTTAGTAACAAAATAAACTTTATTATTTTATTTTTTAAATATAAATTGTAATTATAATTTTAGCTTTGCGCAAGATGCTTAAGCAAATTAAAATAATTATTAATAATTTTTTAAACAGGACTGCCTTAAATTTTTATAATAGTAGTATTTCTTACTTTCTACTTAAGTAAAGTATTTTTTTTATACTATACACTAATTACTGCCTTAAATAACAAGCTGCTTTAGCTAAAAGCGTTAACTAATACTTATTTAGAAATTAGTTTTGCAAAAAATACTTTCTAAATTTCTTTTTAAAGTATAGTTATAAGCAAGTTGCTATAGGCTTTTTATAAAAACTTATTCTGCCCTTGCTGCATAGAAAGCCCTTAAATAAAAAGTAACTGCCTTAGCTACTACTTTAATAAGTTTTTAGAATTAGTTTAATACTTAATTTTATTTAATTTTAAGTACTAATAATTTTGCGTTAAAGTTTTCTTGCTTTAAGATCTTTTAGTTTCTTTATAAATCTATTTCTTTTTTCTGTCTTACTAATAGACTATTATGCGCCCTTTAGTTAAATTACTAAAATATAGTATACTATAATGCGCATTTAAATAGAAAAGGCAGGCATTAACTTATAATTAGTAAAACATGCAATTTATATTTCTAGTATTCTATTGTAAGCTAGTATTAGTACTTCTTTCCTTTTTTACTTATTTAAACTACAATATAGCCTTGCTGCTAAGGATATCTATTATATGCCAACTTACTACACCACAATATACTTTACTTTAAAAACTAAAAATTTCCGCCCTAACTAGCTGCTATAAATAATATAGCTAATACTTTGCTAGCTAAATATAAGCAATTATCTATTAGTAGGAACTAGGCTAATATATTTATTAAATAATATTTATAGCTTAATATTAAGACTTTTTAAAAGTATAATTACTAAAAAGCTTTATATAAAAATCTTAAGCTTATATAAAGCTAGTTCTAACTTATAAAAAATATAAAAACTAAGTATAATATTTAAAACAAAAATATATATAATTTTAATAAAATAAGCTTTATAATAGGCTAAATATTACATAAAACTATTATTTTAA